TCTCTCGCAGAACACAGCAAACGAAGCGCTGATTACCGAGCCGCGTGTTCATTTCAAGCACAGACGCAGACGCGGCACTTTCACCTTGGGGTTCTATTACCAACACTAGCCTCAAAGTTCCTTTTGCAAAAATGTTCCTTATGGGAACACCTCTTTCATAAACTCTTACCCAGTCAGGGGGTGAAGACATCAAAGGGTCTTCCAGCTCGGGATTCTGGAAAGATTGTCTTTGAAACACAGCCCCTTTGCTAAAGATACTAGAAAGAGCTTAAATAGTTGTGATGCTGGTACACGAATTCCTCTCACTTGATGTTCAACCCGGCCTGCCACAGACGGAATGAAGCTTGGCTACACGTGCTGCTACATTTGTGATACAAGCCGACGGCTCAGGAGGAAGGACATGGAAAGAATTCAGCACAGTCCTCCCGTGGCCGGTCAGGAGAAATAACCAGGAAATGGGTGCTCGGGCCGTTGGAAAGACAGAGGGTCACATCGGAGAGAGACCATCCTATATTGGGACTTCCTGTATAACTGCTGACCACATGCTCCCTTGGCTCCAAGTGTTAAGACTTCACAAGGAGCTAAGATAACAAGGAAGTAAGGAAGATTTAACTGCCAGAAACTAGGCAGAGCAGTGCCGTTAAGAGGGGACCCAGCTCCTGAAACAGCAAGGCTTCAGAGAAGGGAGAGAACAGTTTCTCGGAACAGGAAAACAATAAACAGAGTTTGTTTTCTTCAAAGGAGATAGAACAAGACAAAAGCAGGAAGTGCTGTCCTTCCTTCATCCTGCCAGATTTTCAATGGGAGTCAAGTGTGTGCATCAGTCACGATAAGGGAGGAGAGACCAAAGCGGTAACACCTTCAGTTTTTTTTTGAAAGAAAAATACAGAGATGTGTCACATAGCACGCTGTTCTTCATTCTGTTCTTTCAAATAGTCCCAAGCATGTCACACTATGAAGTGATTCCCAGTGAAACAGTGCCGTGTGTGCCAAACGTGACCTCTCTTTAAACTTCCTGGATGGTTCTTGCCACTTAGCACTCAAGGAAAGCATCTGGGCTGGACAAAGAAGACCATTCCACATTTCTTCAACATAAGGATTTGGGGTCCACATTACTTCGGAGCTTGCAATCCTCAAAGGCTTTGCTTTGCTGTGTTACAAAGAATATTCCACAGATTTAGATAATTAGAAGTCAAATGTTTTTTGAAGAGTCTAGACTATCTGCCAGAGAATTCTAGAAGGGATACTAACCACATGCTTTCCAAATTTGGTATAAAACTAAAACAATGAGAACAAATAATTTATTTGCACTCATAATCTCACAGTTGCACCATTAATTTAATATGCTCCCTGGGGGGGCTTGGCCTATGATGTCACTTTCTGGGATAGAAATCAAATTTCACTAAATTCTACTGAATGAGAGTGAACGAATACATACAGGCTACCTGAATTATGGATTTAGTTTCAGAACAAAAAAAATTTTCTTTATTATGTAATTCAGTATTTTGGATACCAGTATGTATTTTAAAATCAATAATTAAAAAATCAATATTCAAAATAATGGTTAGTCCCAGGCAAGCCTGAATAGAGCTATTTTCCCCATAAGGCATCTAAAGTTTAGTATTGTGTTTTTGTTGTGTGGGAAGGTGCTAGAATAGTTCTGGCTGAGTTCCTGAGACTTACAATCGGCCAGGAACTATGCCAAGAGCCTTGCAGGAGCTATGCCAAGAGCTTCACAACAATCCTCTGATAAAGATGAGGCAACAGAGCCTTCGAATGATTTTATGAGCTGCTCTAGATCACACAGAAACCTTGTGTGCTGTGGAGCTTCCAGAAAACTCCAGAGATAATGCACCAAGCATTAAGAAACCTATGCCTCCAGTTCCTGAGCCATGCAGGACCATCAACAGGTTACTCCATCACACTGCACCTTGGTTTTCTCATCTCCAAATCGGATTTGGACACGCTGATTCTTTTGGCCCCCTTTGCTCTGAAAATTCTACTTTTACATTCATCAACTTCCAGCTGCAATTGTCTGTGATCGAGAATGCATTCAGAGTTTCAACGTGGGTAACGTCACATCCCTCTTCCCCTTACCTGGGGAAGGGGAGGTTGTATGTTTCTAGAGCAAAGGATTAGCTGTGAAGTTAAGAATTGGAGAAGACACAGGGAAAGGGGTAAAAAGAACTATTAGATGGGAAACTGAGGCCTCACAGGGTATGAGTTCTCTGCTGGAGCTCTGCTATTAGGTTCTTTTGTTGGCTGGAATGTTTCTTTTTTTTTTTTTTTAAAGCTTTTATTTATTTGAGAGAGAGAAAGCATGCACAGGAGAGAATGCGCAAGTGGGGGGAGGGGCAGAGAGAGAAGCAGACTTCCTGCTGAGCAGGGAGCCCCACACAGCAGCTCAATCCCAGGATCCTGGGATCATGACTTGAGGTGAAGGCAGATGCTTAACTGACTGAGCCACCCAGGTGCCCCTGGAATGTTTCTCTTTCTATGCAGGGTTTCACTCATTCCAGGACCATAGTTCAACAGAGTACACAGTCAAAATTTCTTTCCTTGTTCTCCAATCCCTGACACATGCACATAGTCCCACCAAAGTTTTCGAAGACTTTTATCACCAGCAACCAAATAGTTGGACAAGAAGTGAAGGGCTTCCTGTTATAGGCACATGCTGCCTCTTTCTAATTGTTTCTTCTCACTGTGACCCTTGTAGAGAAAGACCAAGATCTTTGGATAAACAAAGGATTGAAAGAAAATTCCATCTGCATTTTAGGAAAAAAAAAAAAAACTGGACTCTAAGTTTCTGCAGCATTTCTTTTTAGGAAGAGTAAGGAGCTAAATGAGGAAATGAAACAGAAATTCAAGATTCTGCCTTCCAAAATGGCCGGCAATGGAGGAGTCAAGCACGGGAAAGCAGACGAGGCGTCTAGTCTTTCTAGCTCATACCACCCAATCTTCCTCCCTTCCCTGTTTTTTTGCAGATCTTCCCAGAGCTTTCAATAGGGCAAGGGGAAAAATGGACAAGATGATGGGAACGAGAAGAAAGGAACGGAAACGTGTGGGAAGAGGGTCCTTTTGTCAGTACTAAGGAGCATTAATAAATGAGAGAGGTGTTTCAGGGAGGTTGCATATTTAAACATGAATATAAACATAGATAACAGAATATTAGGCTTAGAGTAGATACCTAAGAATTTATCTAGCCTTATCACTTTATCAATGGAAGAATTTTTTTCTAGAGCACCTCTAATAGACGGTGAGGCCGGCTCGGTTCCAATATTCTAAGTTGCCTGTTTTCTTCTTGGACAGCTCCAATAGTTAGAAACTATTGTAACTTATAACATTATCACTTCCAAATATTTGCTCTTTTACCAGCTCAAGGAGGACAGGAAATGAGTCTTAATTATTTTTGTATCCCCAGAACCTCGAACTTAGTGGACATCATGTAATAGTAAACTATTAGTCAGATTAATACATAGATATGCTAATGAAGGAAATACCTGAAGAAATATATTAAGTCTACTTTTTTAATCTATGCAAAAACCCTTTACCTATTTGATAGCAATAAAAATATGTCCTAAACTTTCTCTTTTTCAAGTTAACTACAGTCAGTTTTCTCAACTAACTCTCACTGGTTCTTTTTTTTTTTTGACAGGCAAAGATCACAAGTAGGCAGAGAGGCAGGCAGAGAGAGAGAGAGAGCGGCAGAAGCAGGTTCACTGCTGAGCAGAGAGCCTCATGTGGGGCTCGATCCCAGGACCCTGGGATCATGACCTGAGCTGATCATGACTCGAAGTCTGAGGCTTTAACCCACTGAGCCAGCCAGGTGCCCCACTCTCACTGGTTCTGATGATCTAACTCTGGGAACCCACCCTATTACCCATATGTACCTTTGTCATTTCTTAGATAGATTCAAAAGAAATAAAATTTTCAAAAAGGGATAATTAAAAATCCTTTTTACTACATCTATTCCCTTTTTGTTATTAGCCATAAAAGTCCTTCACATTTTTCTATAGCCTTCTTAAATACACATCAATAATAAAATAATAGGTATTCATTGTTTTTAAAATGAAAAAATTAAAATGTCTCATAATCCCAACATTCTGGGTGTATCTCCTGCTCGTTCTTTGTTTTTGTTTTTGTTTTTTTTTTAAAGATATTTTAATGTGATCTGATCATGCTGCATATATCATTTTATATACTACTTTTTTTCCTTAATGTGCTATGCACGTTTTCTCATGTTATTATCAGTTCATCACCAAGACCATTTTAAATCACTATTATATATCACTGGAGAGCTATCTAGTTATCTAACCAATACCTTATGGTTATACAGCACCCGATAGATCACTACAATAAATGGGACTTGAGGAAAAAAAAAAATCATTGTACATGAGTTTTTTCCACATCTTTGATGATCAGTTTAGGACAGATTTCTAAAAGTATAATTAGTAGGTCAAAGAACATACATTTTCACAAGACTTTTGAAACTCTCTTCCTCAGGGTACCACCTTTCCTGGTCCTCAGACTAGGTTAAATTCCCTTGTGACATGTTCCTAGTACACCCTGCCATTCCTGTTCATCACCCTCATCACCATTTTGAAGACTTGGTTATATTTTATTTCCTTTTAGACTACAAACTGCATTAAGGCGGCGCATGACCATCTTTGCTGACTGTGTTTTGCATAAAGCTAACATATAGTCCAACCCTCAAAGTATATTTTATTTAGTTGAATACCATTAAATTGCTTCCTTAAAAGGGTTTTGAATTTGCATCCCAGAAGCACTGTTGGTGCATGTCCAACTCACTGCATTAATATTGTAAAGCCATGACACCCCCAAATGGGAAGACCCCCCCCCCAAAAAAACCTCTTAGTGTGATTCAGTTCTTGTTACAAACCAAACCTGTGGCTTAGAGCTCATCTCTCAGCTCCTATGAATTCACTGGGTATATTAAACTCTGCATTGAAGATTCAGTGAGACTGTGACCTGAACATTACCAGCTCTCGGGGAAGAAAAGTCCCTTCTTGACGGGCGATGACCAGCGATGCTGTCTCTCCTTGCTTGGTGCTCCTCAGCATGGCCACAAGCTCTTCCTGTGTCCGCCCAGTGACATCTCTGCCATTGACCTAACGGACGCCGTCATATGAACAGATTACAACACTCTCCACCTCCTTCTATGCTAGATGGTTTCTGAAAGTAAGTAGCAAATGGGCTCCTACAATCGATAAAGCTCTGAAAAGGTGAAAACTGAACACAGGGACCCAAACCAACCATGTTCAAAGTACCAGTACTACATTGACCATCATTATTATGGTGCTAGATCCTTTCAGATAGACAGTATTTAGTATAAGCAGTTTCTCCTAAGATATCACATTCCTATGAGGGGGACATCAAACTGACAGCAGAAAATAATTCCTTAAATAGGAAAGAAGTGGATTTAAGATGCTGAACTGGAACCATTTTCTGCCTAATACAAAAAAAAAAAGGGGGCAAAAAAAATGGATCATGATCACATGGCAAATTCCTTTGGCAACGAAGTCTTTCGTTATAATTAAACAGTGATCTCCATGTCTAGAAAATTAAAGTCTCCCGGATATCATAGATAATTAGAAATTAGAATTTGGAGCTATACTAGTCATTTGATATATCTTCTTTCATAATCTAGAACCATATGAAAATCTATAGTTTTGCTTCCGTGCCATGAGAAAGTTAAATAGAACCAGACAGTTTCAATGAGGAAGATTTCTTGAAAGGTAAGTTGACAATATGTATTTAGCCAAGAAGACAATGCTACCAAACAAAAATACATGGAGGAAAAGCCTCTTGCTTTGGGTAGTTCCAGATACTTCTTTTTAGGTATGGATCAACCTGAGACAGGCAGCCCATCCCTAGGAGAAGTTTAAAGATATTGTTACCAGAGTTTGGCTATGATTCGGAATTCTTAGCCCTAACTGCATTTATGACAAATTTGTGGATTTGATCCAAATTCCCCAGGGATCCTAAGAGGTGGAAGTAAGACAGAGAAGACAGGGTAAAGTTTGAGGTGTTACATGTGCTTATATCACTGACCTTATGGGGAACTTAGAAGTCAGATTTCCCATTAACTAATTTTTTTAAATAATTAAAGTCTATCTTTTCTACAAGTGATAGTTTTCAATATATTATGTCAAAACATAAATAGTAACATATTTATTTAAACATATTTTATTGAAGATATTAATTCCAATTCTTACCTCCAAAATTCTGTCCCCTGATTGTAGGCGGCCATCTTTTATTGCTGCTCCCTTTGGTAAAATGTTTTTTACAAAAATGGGACCAGGCCCATGTATGGAAGAGTCTCTGGTAACCACAGTGAAACCCAGTCCTTCAGGGCCTAGTGTGTAAGACCAGGAAAACACATGGTCACCTTAAGTAGAAACCTGCAGAAAAATCTACCTAATTTAGACTAATGTAGAATAATTAAAATGTTTACATTCCAGTAAATATTTTAAATTCACTTCAGTTGTTCTGATTGCAAATACAGATATTGTTCCTGACAGGCCATGATGGTTTCAAAGTGGATTTTAGGGTTCAATGCAGATGTGTAACACTTTTGTTTATGGAGGCCCCAGAAGAAATGGCACGTTATCCATAAACTCAGGAGATCGATTTCTCGGTAAACCATGAGCAGCCAAAGGCCATCTGACATGAGTTTTGTCAGGCATTCACTCAGTTAGCTAACCTGCCCCTCCCCCCACCTGGGCCTCGATTCGTGGATTCCTTCTAGGCTGCATCCCCTTGCTCCCTTCCTCACTCTTGCTGTCCCATTCTCTTGCACTCAATCTCTTCCTCTCCCAGTAGGTGGTTTTCACTTTATCTGAACATCTCTGCCCTAAAGAATCCTTATTGCAATCTTACTTCTTCAGTCTTCCACCACCAATGACCTACTCATGACCACATCCACTAATTTTCCCTCTTCTGATCTGTCCCTCTCTCTAGCTTCGACACTTTTCACCAATTGTTCTCTTGAAATTAATGGCCCCCTCTTTGGTTTTCATGTCTGTATTTTCTGATTATTTTCCTAACTCTCTGATCACATCATGTCTACCACTGTCTCCTACCCACTATCCTCCCACATGAACAAAGATATTCAAGGATCTGCCCTAGAACAGTTTGTTCTCCAGATCTCTGCCTTGGCCAGCTCCCAGCTCCAACTGTCAGCTCCCCACGGATGACACCTGAACCTTGTTGACCCTAATCTTTCTGGTGTTGGCTTGCTTGACAGGACCACGCACACACTTTCACCAGCATCTCAAACTTCACTATGCATCTCCTGCTCCAATTCAGATCCTGGTCTTTTTACGTATATTTATCGACTAAAAATTCTAATTTTTAGTAATGGTATCTCCATTGAACAAGCCACTTGCAATTCCTCTCTCTCTCCTCTCCTATATCCAGTCAGCAGGCATGGCATACATATTCCATTTAGGCAGATGCAATGATCCTTTGTTCTTTGATCTCTCCTTCAGTGTACCTTTTTGCTGTCAGATTAATCTTCCCAAAGTACAATAATATGATCGCATATTCTTTATTTTTGCATTCAAGGCTTTCGGATGAATTCTTTTTTGAAAATTATTTTTATTAACATATAATGTATTATTTGCCCCAGGGGTACAGGTCTGTGAATCATCAGGCTTATACATTTCACACCACTCACATAGCACATAACCTCCCCAGTGTCCATAACCCAACCACCCTCTCCCTACCCCCACACCCCACCCCCTAGTAACCCTCAGTTTGTTTCATGAGATTAAGAGTCTCTTAGGGTTTGGATATCTCCTGATCCCATCTTGTTTTTTTTTTTCTCTTCCTACCCACCACAATCCCCCACCTTGCCTCTCAAATTTCTCATATCAGAGAGATCATATGATAATTGTCTTTCTCTGATTGACTTATTTCACTCAGCATAATACCCTCTAGTTTCACCCACGTCATTGCAAATGGCAAGACTTTTTCTGATAGATTCTTTTTTGTTTTTTAAAGATTTTATTTATTTATTTGACAGACAGAAATCACAAGTAGGCAGAGATGCAGGCAGAGAGAGAGGAGGAAGCAGGCTCCCTGCTAAGCAGAGAGCCCGAATCGGGGCTCAATCCCAGGACCCTGGGATCATGACATGAGCTGAAGGCAGAGGCTTTAACCCATTGAGCCACTCAGGCACCCCTCTGGTGGATTCTTAAGGTTACATTTTGTGTCTGATTTATCTATCCTCAAAGCACCCAACCCCATGTCTTATACGTAGCTGGGTAATTTGTACAAAAAACATAACTGATACAGTTATATAAAAAGCCTAGGGGTGCCTGTGAGGCTCAGTTGGTTAAGTGAGCTCAGGTCATGATCTCAGAGTCCTGGGATTGAGCCCTGCATCAGGGTCTTTGCTCAGTGAGGAGTCTGCTTATAGATTCTCTTCTCTCCTGCCCTCTACCCCTCCCCCACTAATGCATGAACGTGCACATGCTCACTCACTCTCTCAAATAAATAAATAACTTTTATTTTTTAAAGCCTAATTGTTAAGCACACAGATGAATTTGTGCCTCCTAGTCAATACAGTTTCTTCTTAGTACAGAATTCTTAAGGGGGACAAAACTCTGACCAGAGGATCTTTCAGAATAACCACTATACCCTAATTAAAGGTGCATCTTATTTGTTTTTTATATATAAGTATATTAAAACTACCTTGTAATCATTAAATTCTGTAGTAATTCAGACAAAAATTTGAGCTTTTGGTTTCTTTTGAATCAAGTCTTGAAAATCACATAGGATTGCAGAAGGTTTGCAGTGGGGGTACAGATGATGAGGAGGTTACAAACAAACAAAAGCACAGAAGTACAGGAAGGCTTATGTATATATAATATTGGAGAAACCTGCATGTATACACATGTCCTAGTCTCACTGATCTGGGTCTGAAATGCAAAGAAAATTGGAAAAGATGAAGACAAGCTTATATATGCTTTCAAAATTAAGTATGTTTTTTGTTTGTTTGTTTTTTAAAGATTTAATTTATTTATTTGACACACAGAGATCACAAGTAGACAGAGAGCAGGCAGAGAGAGGAAGGGAAGCAGGCTCCCTGCTGAGCAGAGAGCCTGATGCGGGGTTCGATCCCAGGACGCTGGGATCATGACCTGAGCTGAAGGCAGAGGCTTTAACCCACTGAGCCACCCAGGTGCCCTCATGAAATTAAGTATGTTTTGAAAAACTGTTTGCAATGTTGAATTAGCGAAATTTCAATTATATAATTATATATAATAATTATCAATTATAATTATCGCATGTTTACTTTTTGAGGACTAAATGTTTTGCTGGCATAAAAGTGACTTAGAGAACCAGAAACATATATGCACTTTTTAGACTTGACCTAAAGGTGCTACAGAACTCAGTAATCTTACTCAAAATAGGGTCCAAAAGAATTTCAGTGCTTCTTAAGTACTCTGTTTCTCCCCAGGTCGCAATGGTTCTTTCCATTTTCCAATATGTCTTTATCATTTTTGTTTGTTTGTTTCAAATAATCTATACTCTCCAGAAGAATAAGAAAGCGGTACAATTTCAAGAGATTTAAGTTACCTACTTAAATCTATTCTTTGATACAATTAAATGAAGGGAGAATTAATGAAATTAGCCTTAATGCATTTCTCTTAACCAATTTTACATGTTACAATAATAGAATGCTATTAAGCATAATTTAATAATTACCTTTCTTTAGGTCAATCTTAATTTTCTTTGTGTTCTTCTTGCTGCCAAACCCCATGAGAGGGGAGAGTGAGGGAGAGGATGGCTTTCTACCCAGTCTTGGTACCCGGGGGCTCTTGCTATGTTGCAGAGAGGTCAAAGCATCCTCTTCAGGACCCCCTGTTCCTGTGAGAGTTATGGTTTTTATTCCCGTTATTCCATGGACAGGAGGCGGTGGCTTGGTTCTCAAAATGCCATCATTGTTACCAAAAATGTTAAGCGGTCCAATGACTGATTTTTCATACTGTTCACGGTTTTGAGGTGGAAGCACGTGGAGGAGCACACTGGGCGATTTCATCGCCTGACGGAAGACATCTTGAGCCCTTCAAAGAGAGTTAGTAAATATATAACAACACTACGTTCTAGCATGCCACTGACAGCACCCCACGTCATGGCCACGGGGGCGGCATCGGAGCAACCGTTACTGTTACCACCAGGATGACTGCCCAGGAAATACGGATTACCACTTACCACTTGCCCACCAGGCGCCCTGACACTGGGCTACACATGCATTAGGAACACACACAATTCTCCCTTTGAATCTTTTTAACAGCTTCCTCAATCTTCTCATTTCGTCTTAAGTATGTACAATTCACTCTTATTTGGCAAAACAAGGAGACAGAGACTCAGAGTGATTAGATAACTCGTCCAATGACCCACGGTTTTTAAGTATTTCTAAATCTGAAAATCCATCCAGAAGGCATTCCTAAGTAAGTACAAAAGCAAACTTTATTTTTAAATGGAAAAAAATCCTCTTTAGTATTGATCAGAATACCAGTTCCTTTTAGGGCTCTGTTCTGAAGTACAGGTCCTCTCTAAAATGGGTTGTGTTCCAGAATTTCAATTCTGACACAAACATTTTCTCATGGAGATATTTGATGCATTGGCTGTGCCCAGTGTCATAGTGAATTATCAATCCAATATGTACCCTCCCCGTTAGTCTATCACAGAGTACTTGTATTTTTTCCCTTTTTTGTCTTAGTACTTGGTGTTTTTCCTCAGATTCCCTACTACCGTTTCTCGCCTTCATCCTTGTGCCTCATGACTACGTAAAACAACTACTTTTCCCAGCCTTTCTTGCTAATGAGATTTACACAGAAGGGTTCCAGGAAAGCTGGGAGCCAGAAAGGGCTTTCTTCTCCCATTTCTCCAAACTCAGAACGCAGCTTGTGGAACTGCCACACCAACTTGGGACTGCCACCTCCACACTTCCTTGTCCCTGGTGGGGGAGATATTAATCTTGTTCAAGGTGCCTTTATTTCAGGTCTCTGTCAGTAGCAGCCACATCAAATAATAACAAATCATAATTCTAACTGTTATCTGATACGTCCCTCCCCCCAACCCCTAACCTTACTGAATAGAGTACTTACTTTCCATGCTGGTAGGGGAAGGGAAGAAGATCCCACAGAGGTAGCCCAACTCCTCTGGTCAGTTCCCTGCCTGGGAGTCAGCTTCTACTTCGCGTTACCTTCATACTGAATTTTTATGAGCCTCAGTTTTCACCTCACAAACCTATCAAGTCCTTGTACAAAGTACTGTGGTATTATGATTTGAAGAAATAGATTTTTCCATTTTCATTTCTTTCCACACTTAGGCAATCAGTGCCCAAGGCCCTTCTCACCCACAACCATTCACCCCCCCCCTCAATCCCCCCCCCGCCACAACCAAACATACAAATATTGACAGAGAATGGTTACAAAGAACATATATGATGCATTGTTTTGGTCAGAAACAAGAGAAGCTGGTGGTCATTACTAAGGAGTAGTAATTAGTATTTATTCCTAATAAATAGGAATTATGTGTGGTCATTACTAAGTAGTAGTAATTAGTATTTATTCCCTTGTTCCAGAGCCCCACTGCAATGCCAACACATGTTTAAAAAAAAAAATGTGACTATTTCACATGCTATTCTTAGCTCTAAGAACCTTGTCCCATAACATTCGCACATGCTGAAAAATGATTACTTCAGGGAGAATATTTTATTTTTTTTTCATTTGTTACTATTTCTCAGTGAATTTTCACAGACATCTCTCTAGGCCCTTTAGGTTAAGGAAGACTGCTGACACAGAGCTAGTTAATTAATAAGCTGAACTAACAGTCTGTGAAAAGAGCCGTTAAAGACCAGCCTAACTGACCCGTATCCCGAGCAAAGCAAACTCATCCAAGGATGATCCAAACAGACAACCAGGCGGGGAGGCTCATTGTGCTCTGCAGCCTCCTGTTCTTGGGGCCGCCGGGGACGAGTGCGGGCCACCTTCCATAACACATAAGATGCCTTTGGGAATGGATGTCCTGCAGTCATTCAGAGGGGACTGACCAGAAAAGTCTACCAACAATTTTGATCATCAAGAGTGCAATAATGACTGTATGTATGCCAGCAACCAATACAGTAAATAAAACAATGGGAAAAAAAATGCTTACTGAGCAAAGGTTTTGTCTACGAGGTCCACGCTGTTGATTTTTACAATACATTCATTTTCATGAAATAGTCCCTCCCGTTTGGACCTGCTATTTTCTTCAATGCCGCGGATGAAGAGTCCTAGAATCCTAAATGCAAAATTGAGGTTGAAATAGAATTACTGGATAATAATATGCTGATTTTTTCTCCCCTCACAACTATTCAGAACTGAGTATTGGTTTCTATTTATGAAAGAAATTATGCTTTAGAGTCAGGCAACTGTTTGTTGTTTAAATCCTTAGTGGAAAAAAACAAATCCACTGAAAGAAAAAAAGGCCTTCGAGACAGACAGACATAAACACTGACCCAGAGCATGCGGAGCCAGGCCTCCACGGCCATGCCTGCGTTATTTTTAGAAACGGCCACCACAGCTCAGTGGAGCTGGGGACACAGAGGCGTCCGGTTCGGAGAAGGACGTCAGGCTGACTGTAACAGGTGTGAGTGGTGCCAAGACAACCTGAAGCTTAATGACGGAAGAGGACGAGACAGTCACCAGAGTTTTTTGCAGTCATGCTACCTGCTCTAGTTATCTGCATCTTTAAGAAGCAAATATTTACGCACAGATCACATTGCTCAGGTTAAAAGGCAGTTTGGTCCCATTCCATGGGTACTCCTGAATCAAGTACATGCGGGGCCCTTCCGGCGCTCAGGATGGAGGAATGGGAGATAGGGGGAGAGTGTGAGACATAAACTGGATCTGAAGAGTGAGGAGGATTTGGATGGGAGGAGAGAGAGAACAGACACGGAGTGGGGGGGGGCAGGCTGAACCCTGCGTGTTTGTGTGGGGAGCTCGCACTGGCTGGGGAGGCCAGAGCCGCACAGAGGGGCCTTGAACACCAGTTGCTGGACTTCATCTAATCACACAGGAGCAGCACACCCAACACTCACGGCTTCTGAGGGAGACAGAGACGTGATGGCAGTGCTGGGGGTGGGGGGCGCTGGGAAGACTCGTCTGCAACTTCAGCCAGTAAGACTCAGAATTCAGAGAGGCCAGCCCGGCTGCCACTGAGAGTCGGGAACGGAGGAGTTGAGAAAAAAGGACGGAGAAAGGCTATAGCAATAATGAAATGCCTGGTGTGTGCATGTGATTCTGTGGCATTTCAGTAGTATCTACACCAAAAACTTTAAGAAATCAAACTTGTATGTGTTTTAGCTAGTTGTCAGATGAGTGATTTCCCTTCCTCTTGTGGCATGTCAGGGCCCTCACTGTGTCCCCAGAATAAGACAGATGAGTCCTCCAAGAGGACTCTGCTGGACATGGGAGAGACAGCCACCTCCTTGTCCCTCATTCTCCTAGTTTTCTGCTTTGTCTTTCTTCTTTGCATACAGGCCTCCTATGTGATCACACAGCCCAATTGCATTAAATCTCCCATCCAATATGAGAACATCTTAATAAGCCATGGAGAGAGGACAGTCTCTAAGGAGAGTAGAGAAGAAAACTGTCTTCCTGTTTGGAACAGCCACCCAGTAGGAGCTCTGCCTCCAGGGCCCCCCATTCACTTAATGAGCTCCTGTCATCTGAAGATGGCAAGAAGAGGGGCACCTGCCAGTCCTCAGGTCTCTGCCCCCACGGGTACAGTGCACTGATGCAGGGGAGAGTGAGTCACGCCCCCTGTGGTAAGGATGGCTCAGGGTCAGAGGCATGTGGTGTGGTGTTCTGCTGTCTTTCCTGGAAGAGATTAGTAAATTGAACATACTCTGTGTGGAAGAGAAAAGGGGCCAAAGCTACTATTTGATAAAGGATCTGAGATTCAAATTAATATTTTTGAGATCCTAATCCTACCTTAATCTCATAATATAATATTAAAAATTGAGCTATTTGACATGCAAAAGAAGGGGAGGAAAAAGAAGAAGAAATAGAATGAAACAGTGTTTCTTTCTTAAATTAAACAACTCTCGAATAGTTCACATTTTGGATTTTTTTGTTATGGTGGATTCACAATAACATGATCCATTAGGAGGCTCACATGTGGTTATAAACTAGTTTATGTAAGCGATATTTTTTTAACAAGCATTCAAGTCTTCCTTTAATTTAATTCAGTACATCATCAGTCATGTAATGTTACTCCCTAGGATTTAATTTCACATTTTGGGAGATGAATTAATTCTTTCAGGCCACTGGGTTGCAATTTCGCTGGCATATTACAGCTGGAGTATGCTATGTGAACCTCACTGATCTAAATAACCTAACTTTCCATGAAAAATTTATTGACAGAATAAGCTCAACTGTAAAACCCATGTGTCAGAGGTAATTTTGGTAAAATGTAAAACTGACTGATTTTATTAATTTGGTCCCTGGCAACAAACCATGCCTGCCTTCTCCATTCCATAGAAGGGACAAATTCCCTCCAGTTCGATTTCATGCAGACAAGTATAAGAAGGCTCAGAAAAGAATCTCTCATTTTCTTCTCTGCCCCAGACTGGTGGGCTGTGGTCGTGGTCTCATTGGGGACCAAGGCTCTCAGGAGTTAAAGATTAATGCTGTTGAGGAATTATAGGCTCAGAGGAACCAGTTAATTTGCATTAATGAGCAGTGATAGAGGAGGCTGAAACCCACTGCCCTACAGAATGAGAGGGGTGGTCATTACTTCTTTTTCTTCTAATAATCATGTAGACACTAACCCAACCACTCCTTGGCCCCTTCTGCTCTCCCCACTGCATCACAGGCCTTGGCCACTCTACCAGCTTCGCATTTTTATCTAAACATCGCCTCTCCTTACATTACACGTCATTTCTCTCCCATCCCTTCCTTCTTCTCTGTCATATTTAGCTGTCTTTACTAGGAAACGAAGGTATATTATGCTATCTTTATTGGAAAAACAATTAGATTTCATTCTAAAACAAAAGTACCTTTTTTTTTTTTAAAGTCAATGAAGTAAAATTGCTTTTTACTTGTAGGAACTCAGTTTTTTGTATATTTGTTTTGATTCTGACTGTACACACCAAGGGGCCTCCATACAGATGGCATTTAACACCCGATGCGGTCGTGCCTAATGAATCGGCTGAAGCCTTATCTGGTACAGCAGCCACAATATTGTACTCAGGGTGTTCTAACTGAGATTACAGTTCCTATTCAACAACAGGTGTGGCAGTATTTTTCTGAAATATATATATATATACACACACACATATATCTAGAAATTGGAGGCAAAGTCAATTACAGTAGTCTCAGTAAAGAATTAAATGTAAATTCTAATTTAAAATAATGACACAAACCAATAAATGGAAGGAAATTAAGAACTAAGTCTACCACTATGACCTTAACTCACCAACCCCCAGCCCCCGAGCTCACACACTGAAACCATATGGCGTTACGAAGTCAGACACTTGTCTGACACGCTCTGTACTCAGTTGCATCTAAACACATGGGTTGAGTTAAGTGTGCTGTTTCAGCCTGTACTCATTACTTCTTAACTTTTATTGGCTCATGTCTCCACTTCCATATTATTTTTATGTTTTTTAATTAAATTTCCTTTCTATAATACTAATGGAGAGCAAAAAAAAATTATACAACTATTTCATCAAGTTACTGAACAGTTAACCATGAACTTATAAAAGTTAACTTCTGAACCAGGCTTTTTTGTTTTGGCCGAAATATTAATAATACTGATAATTTACACATTCATGTGTTGTGTGCTTTACAAGGAGTTTTCACATTTTTAATCTCATTTAATTCCTACAACCTTGATGTGAAGTAGGTATTCACAAGAGGCAAGTTTAGGGACTTGTTCAAAGTTATAAAAGAGAACACTGAGATTCAAATCCAATTGTTCTGAATCCAAGTGTAACGTTTTTTTCTATTCTTCAAGGCTTATGCTATAAGTCAGAACCAGGAAGGAAAAGGGAAGAAATCAATACATTTTAGTGTATTTCCCTCATCTGATGTAAGAGAAGGTGATTTCTGGTTTACAGGGTCAACTTGTTTTCCGAACTATTGAAAATGAAGTATGGTGACAGTCACATTGTACATTTCTTCATGTTTTGGAAATTGGGATGATCTTGTGTTCTATTCCGGCTTCATTAAACTAAAGGGCCTGGTAATTTAACCGCTCTGGTATTTCGCAAAGCTCTATCAGCACACTTCTGCCAAAAGCCATTAGAATTTCTCATGACAACTGGGTAAATACTCCTCCTGTCTATCAAAAACCACCTCAGCTTATCCTGTGCCATAACCTGTAACATTTATAAACACGCTTATTAACACATACAGGAAATGAAACAATAAGAGCCGCTGGCTTTTCAGTTCATTTCTTTTTAGAGAACATTCATTTCAGCAAGAGCTTGGTTCGCATCAGATGTTATTTGCAAAAAAAGGTGATGACTTTGCAATTACAGGTAGCAGATGGCTACCTGCTGAAAATGATGCCAACCAAAATATCATGACTAAATCTGCTCTTCCTGCTATGTGGCAGACTGAATTGAATAAATATTCTGAACCAGTAAATTAATACTATATAACCTTTGGGAAATTTTTGCTCTAGAAAGAGGAAGGGACTAAGGGGGATTGGATCTGGATTTCGTATGACCTTGAAAAAAAAATTAATGGTCTTTCCTGGACTTTGCTCTCTTAAGCTAAAATAAGGCATTCTGCCTGAAATTTTCAGTGATGCATTTAATATAAGAAAAATAAATTTTGCATATTAATTAAAACATGCTTTTTACTTAAAGGAACTCAGTAAGGAAAGTCCTTTCTTTTAAGATAGCTCTTGTCAGTATCAATCTAGTGCTAAAGGTACTCATCTTATTGAACAGTGACACAATATCTAATACTAGTTTTGTAAAGTTGTTGTAATAGTACTAATATTAACTATCAGGCACACACTTCAATTTTCAACAGTAAAACAGCTTTTATATCCAGTTAGGTGGACATGAATTTCAAAAAACGCTGACATCTAAATAAATTACCATTTGCCACTGTGGATTTAGCAATTAAATGTTTTTAAAATTTCAAAAGGAGGTGGTATACTGTTTTTAATTGATTACATTTTATTTTAGACAAAAAAAGCACAATAGTACCCTACCATTATAGTTAAAATCATGAAAACATATAGCATCTGATATAGCTACTTACAGTGCTGGAATATTTATTATTCTACGTTCCCATATACCTAAACAGAATCAGGAAATATCAATTTGGATGACCACCTTCACTTTTCGAAGTGTATTTTGGAACATTAAAAAATTCAGTTGTAATATTTGTCTAACAGTATGTTAAAACCTTCTTAAGGATTGTGTTTACTACATGTCACTGACAAGAACACTTTAAGAAAATACTTCAGGGGTGCCTGGGTGGCTCAGCCAGTTAAGCATCTAGCTCTTGATTTTGGCTCAGCTCATGATCTCAGGATCGTGAGATCGAGGCCTATGTTTGGCTCCACACTCAATGGGGAGTCTATTTCTTTCTTCCCCTTCTCCTACTTGCCCTCCTCATGCCTGTTCTCTCTCTCTTTCCAACAAATGAATAAATTAATATTTGTTTAAAAAAAGAAAATAATGCATAATTAAGTGCAAATGTGGAAATGGTAATTGATACTGTTGCTTTTCCACTGTATCTTAGAAGTAACACCACTGTATCTTTGTTTCTAACACTTAAGTGGCCAACAGAAGTATATAGTGAGGTGTCGGTCTGAATAACAGAGATACACATTTAATCCTCTTCTGAATCATGTTTGGGAAAATGAACTGAAGTCAAGTTTTTCATTAGCACGAGCTTCTGATGTAAAGAAAACATCTTACCTTCCACTCAGAGACGAAAAGAAGGGCACCACGTGTATTCCCAAGGGGCCTCCTTCCCCAGAAATATCCACTGTTCTTGTCATATCGCTGGGGCAGAAACAAGTAAGAGCACAGATAAGTCTCTACTTAAAAAAAAAAAAAAAAAAAAAAAAAAAAACAAATTTAAAAAAAAAAAAAAAAAACTAAGATTATATCAACTACTGTAACTTCAACGGCAGAGATGAAGTCAATTGAATACATGATTTGCTGGTATGTTCACAAGATCCAGGAAATAAAATGTTTAAAAGACTGATTTCTTATTTTTTTTTCTGTAGAAGGGAAACAAATGGAAATAATGACCCACAAAAATAACTTTCTACTTAATTTAACCTGCATAAATCAACATATTTAAAAGGATACACACAAAAATGAAATCTCTCCCCATTGAGACGCACTTGACAATTACTGTGCAGATGATGAAATACATGGGACTAAAGCTTACCTATGCTTGGGCATAAAGTAGTTTTCCCTCCCAGAACAGGAAAATTGAAATAAAAAATATGTTTATTAGAAAAAGCACAGAAGTACATTTTACAACAGTGAAGCCCCAGTTAGTAACACATATGGGCATGTTCGGAGCATTATAAGTCAGAACTCAGACTTGCCTTTCAATAAGGCATCAGTTGTAGTCACTGGAACAATTCTAAATTTTCACCTCCCATTTTTTTTAGAGGTAGAAAAGGAAGTTGTAAAGCCTGGAGAAAATGTATTACAGAAAGAAATAGAAAGCCTGACCTGCCTAACCTACTCCAGATTAAGGAAAGGATGAGCTAGAAACATTAATGGATAGTGTGTATGACTGAAATATACAAGATATTGGGAAACTTTGAGTAATAAAGAGTGGAACTAACAAGTTTTTATAAAGATGAAAAATAATAACCGTGAACAATTATTGGCTCCTTTAATCCCACAGAGAGAAAATAAAATTGCCAGAGGAAAAATGATAAAGTTGAAGCAAGCATCCTTGTTATGGAAATTGTAAGCAGATCTCTATTGTTTCCTATTTACATGAAGATGACCTGAAACTAGATGTCAAATTAAGAGCTACAGCTGCTACAAATGCTTTTCTGTTCCAAATTGAAAATGGTGAAATTTTGGCTCCTTGCTAGAAAGTTGAGAACAGCATAAGAAAGCAAAATGCCTGATAAATTCACTCTGTATGTAGCACTCCCTGAATTATCAGGCATCTAAAATAAATACATTAAATATATTCCCATCAGTGGACAAGGCTTATTTTTAATGTGTTTTCATTGCAAACTTATTATCATTAAGAACTATAAAAAAGAGCATGTCAGTTTCTAACATTTGTGGAGTATGATAGAATTTCAAATCTGATAATAAATTTCAAATGAGTTTTGCTCAGATATTGCTGATATATTTAAAAGTTGTTCAGTCAAGCAGGTTATATCAAAGGCCTGGGGTAAAAGTTAGAAATAAAACAAATCTTAGAGTGATAATATCATGGGATAAAATAGATTCTTCTTGATACTTTCTGTGTGATAATACAGATATTAAATGAATATATATATAAACATATAAGTATATATATAACATATGAAATACTATATATATGTATGTACTATACATCCTAAATATAAACTGTCTGATGGGCAGAGAAAGTTGCATAGCTCTTAATGGACCACAAAGCAATAATTTTTACATAATAACAGATTTATAGTACATTCGTAGGTATTTGAGAAGGACTACACCCAGAGCATTAACATTCTAGGGTTGTGGTATTGTTTTAAAGACTTTTAAAAACAAAGATGAAAATCTTGTTTAATCATTAAACTTTGTTATCTCTACCTTTACAATGTATTTTTGTTTTACACTTAGAATGTAACACAAATCTTTCCCAATAAGTGTATTAAATGTCCACGAGCTGAGAGATAGCACTCATACGTACTATAGAGAGGCTTTTAGAATATAAGTGTGTTTAGTATAGAGTTCAAGATTTCAGCTTAAGAATTTTTAGGATGGCTTTATGTTTTTGTTTCTGTGTTTGTGAGGTTTTTGTTTTTTGTTTTTGTTTTTTTTTTTTTTTTTTTGGTCTCTTTTGCAAATATTTCTTTACCCAACTCAAAACCTTTCCTGTAAAACATAATAAATTCTATGTATTATACTGATACATACTCTTTAGGAACTATCAATCTTTTATTTTTACATTCACTTAATAAAGTAAATCTTATAATTTGTTAAAGCAATCAACCTTATTTTAAAACACTATACCCATTCTTGGGGATGCAATCTAAAGGTTCATTTATACTTCATAAGATTCTCTTTTTTGAGACCTCAGAATAAACTCTTGTTCTATCTATGTACATGGCAATCACAATTTTTTGGCTGGAAAGACATGTGACAAATCCTAAATGGCTATCATAAAAATGTTATCCCAGAAAAAAAGCATGAAGGATTGTTGATTTTGTAGATTGTAATTAAATCTACTTAATATAGACAAATATTACAAATTTTACACAGGTTGTGTTTTACCATGCTCTTTATAAAATGTTATCCATTTTTTAAGATGGAAAGAAAAGCTTTTGAAAAAGGAAGCCTCACAGACCATATATTTTTACTTATTTTAAAAGGAGGGGGATCTTTGCGTTCCATATACCTGATGGAATTCTGTAGAAATCTCTGTATATATACTCTTAATGAAAGATAAACACAGCAAGTAGGGCTAGACACAATTGTCTCATAAAGTGAGATTTTACTAAGATGTGCAAATACACTATCAATGCCATTTGTTTAGTCCAAGTGCAGAGTAAGTTTTAGCAACCAGTGAGCAAGTTATGTTCACGATAATTTACGTCCTGGAGGCTGACTGGGAACGGAAAATTTAGAGAATGAGGTGGAGAGAATTTTTTGGTAGTGGAAAGAAAAAGGGATCGGCAGCTACTTGTGAAAAACAGACAAAAAAGTGAAATGTGGGGTAAAGGGAAAATATTTCAAGTACACAAAGAAAAGCTGAAAGTGTCACGAAGATCGAAATGGCTGACTTTAGAGAATGAAACCCAAAGTGGACAGTCACAGAACATTAGATCCAACATTAGATCAAGCTAAATGTCCTAAGATCCAATTGACAACACTGATTCAAATAATTCCTGGGACCAGCTGCTACCTATCTAAGATTTTAGGACAAAACTTGGGGTGAAGGTACAGAATAAAAGGTTACAAGTGAGCCTGTCCTGAACAGCTGCTCTGCAGGAACTCCATGGCCAAGGTCTTCATTTGGCTCCATCCAGAAGAAACACATGAAGTCTGAGGGACAGAAGATAAGAGCTGCAGAGGGCTGCAGGTACAATTCTTCACACGAGGCAAATGGACAGCATTCTTAATATTGAGATTATTAAACTCACAGTTTAAAGTCACAGGCTACTCATGTAGGGTAAGGGACAGAGGACTCAGGGCAAGCTGGGTGGGGGGTGTCCTTGTTTCAGAAGAAAATCATGATTAAGTTACAAAATTAGCAGTGTATCTTAGCGGTGGCTTTGAGTCAGATATCTGAGAAAAGCATTTAAACAAAGACCAGAAGTATCAGTTTCCTTATTTGGACAAAGGGGAAATTAAGATAAATTCCTAATAGAACTGTTGGTTTAAAAACAACTAGAGGACATAACATGTACCTCATACACATAGTATCTGGTGTGTACAAGAGGTTCAATAACCACCAGCTATTAGGATGATTATTAGAATTTTTTGAGGGAAAGAGTTTATGGATTAAAAGGAAATTATCTCAAACTTCCCACTTTTTTCTCAACTGATTTCCTCAGTGAGATTTTTAAAATATCCTCAAGTACTGTAGGGATGAGGAACATGTTTTCTTCATGATTAGACTACTGCCACAAAGATGATGATGGATAATAAATGGATAGAAGGTTTTGACCGGGGGTCTTCAGGCACTAATGCACAGGTTCATCATATGCATACAGAACAGTGTGAGAGATGGACCGCCGAGAGACCTCCCAGTACAGTGTGTTGATGGCAGGCAAGTATGCTTGATCGTGAGGTCTTATTGATGCAAATATACTAAGTAAAAGCCTAACAAAAAATCTGTTGATGGTGGTGGGATTCATTCAATGTACCTGAATTCAAGTACATTAATTGAGTAGTTTCAATGATGTAGTTCTATAAGGAAAACATAGAGGCCAATATCTGAGGAGTTCACAGTCTAGGGGGGCAGGATAAGACAGGTAACAGAGAATAACACAAAGCAATGGAATGATAGTAGTCATCGTAGCATGTTTTCAATGATTATAAACTATGATTTGGGATGCACTGTGTTAATGGCCCTCTAGCAATATACCATGTACTCTCACCAGAAGTATATAAAGTAAAACATATCAGACCCGCTTTATAGATACGTAAATTGATGCCTAGAAAGGTAAAATAATTTGCCAAACCTCACACCACTTCTACAAGATAGAGTCAGGATTCACCTTGGAATTTATTGTATTGCAGAACAGGAGTTTTAAGCTACTTTTGCATGAGTTTCAAAGTAGAGGCACTTCCTGGTGAGGCTCAGAAGAAATTAGTACAGGATCAGGAAGGGAAGCTGGGATCAGGAAACTCTTCCTGAAGGAGGAGTTTAGATGGAAGTGAGAAGGGCAAATGGATCCCTAATCAGAGAAAGTAGGTGAGGGGATGGTGGGGGCATGTGGAGGAAACAGCACAGTCTGCACTGAGACACTGAAGCAGGATGGTTTGTGAGCACACAGACTGGCTGTGATATTAGAGAAAGAGGCTAGTGAGCAGAGAGAAAGGAAGGAAAAGACAGGGAGGTATTGAGAAGAGAAGGTTGAACCATCAGCTTGAGATCAAATCTCAGAGTGATATGTCAAAATCCATACGGGGGGAAAAAAGCACATTTAGTTTGGTAGAAAATGGAGTCATTAAAGGTGTTGGCACTAAGGAGTAGGGTGATAAATGCTGTGGTTTAGAAATATTTATCTGGCAGTGATATGTGGGATCAATCAGAAAAGAGTAAGACAAGATAGAGACTGGTCCCTGAGACAGGAATTAGTAAATTATTGCAATAATTGGAGAGGTAATAGGGCTTGAGCATCACAGGAATAAAGCATGAATACCTGGGGGAAGGTTTAAGGGATTTTTTTTTTTTTTTTGACATGGACTCTACCAATAGTTTGTCAAATGAATGGATATAAGAGGCAAAAAAGAATAAAACTTGATAGCTGTTTTAAGCGTGGGAGAAGAGGTAAGTCTGGAGTAGGGTAATTTGGAAATGTGTCAAGGAATAGGTTGAGGTCAGGAATGAAGTTGAACTTAGGGATGACGTGAAGGTCTTTTGCATGTATCGCTTGCTGTTGAAATAGAAGCTTTACAGCACCTGGGTGGCTCAGTTAAGCGTCCAACTCTTAATTTCAGCTTAAGTCATGATCTCAGGGTTGTGAGATCAAGTCCCTCATGGGGCTCCATGCTGGGAGTGGAGCCTGCTTAAGATTATCTCTCTTCCTCTACCCCCCTCTTTGCCTCCCCTTCAAGAAGGAAGGAAGGAAGGAGAGAAGGAAGGAAGGGAGGGAGGGAGGGAAGCTTAAAGTGTAGTTAAACCAAACCAAACAAAAACCATCCAATAGAAATCTCTTGCTTCAACATCTTAAGATCGAGGTAAATTGAGTAGTGCTTCATAGGAGACGCATATTATAAGACTATTTGGAGAACCCCCTCCTATGGTTATTTTTCTTTAAATAAAATTGTGTTAATGCTGTGTAAGCAGCTAATAGGGATGCTTATGATTTATGGAGCAATGTGTTCTAACCATTCACTGAACAAATATTCATACTTGGAACAAGTATGTTCCAAGACCTGTATGACGTGTCAGGAATCCCTTGGAGGATTCACAGTCTTATATGGGAGAATGACAGTCAATAAACCGCGGTACGTGTGCTAATCATAACTGCAGTAGCAACTAATATTTATCTGTTCATTTAGTATTATGCTGAGTACAACTGCCTGTGATAAATCTCATTTAATCTTCACAATAATCTGTGTGATGATACCCATTTTCCATATTAAAAAAACTAAAGAGGTTAAATAATTAGTCTAAGGTTACATAGGTAGTGTTGAAACCCAGGATTTAACAAAATTCAACTGGAATGTAGGAATGGTTTGTTGAATGCTGTGGTTTAAGAAATTTTTACCTAGCAGTGTGAGTGATACAGGAGATCAATTAGGATAAAGAGACTGGTATTCAAGAGAAGAGACAGTAGGTTGCTACAATAGTCTGAGAGGTAATAAAAGCTTAAGCAATGACTATGGGGTTGAAAATACAGAAATAGGTGCAAAATATTTTGAGATGGACTGTGGAAATAATCTGCTGAGCTTTTATGCCACCTACATCAAAGTGAGCCCAAAGCTCTATTCTTAGGCCAAGCTCTGTGGGATAGCATGCCCTCATTGTCCTAGGAGAATGATGACCAAATAACTCAGCTCTAAGTGGCTTCCTAATTGTTCTTCCTTTGTTTCTTCATCACCCTGTGCCAGCTAGAACCCAAGTCTTTTCCTGGAATTGTAATCTCCAAGCTTCCTGGTGCTAGCTGTGCATGCCATCCTGTTAAGATCCTTCTCATCCTCTCCATACCCAAGAGCCTGCAGGTGCTGGGAGTCTGCACTTACTCAGCTTTCTGAACTTGGCCTCAACCTGATTTCACTGATTTCTCCAAACTGGTGCTCACCACATGAAGTTCCTTAGCATAAAATAAAACACCAAAGAATAAGGGGAAGTGTACACAACAGGTAACACTGGCGTTGAAGGCTTTAGAGACAAGAGTAGTGGATAGAGATTGGGTCTCTACAGTTACTTAATTGCTTTGAATTACAATTCATCAGCCTATTAAATGTGGTGATAAAACTCTTACAAAAATTGTGCATGTACACACATACATTTTAATTAAAGAATTTTTTAAATTTCTATACTCCATTCCTCTCAATTCTTTGTACCTGGAGAGAGTTTAGTTAATTAGTTCATGTAGCCATAAATCAAACAATGGTTCACACTCAACGACATCTATCCACATAACATTTAGCCAAGATGATTACAAACTTTTCAAAAAGCTAACACTGAAAAAAATGAAATTAAAGGCAAACAGAAGAGTATTACATTCATTATGCCTGCCTCCAAAAACAATCTTGTCAAGCTTCTAAAAAGATAGTGCCCAAGAGATTTTCTCTACCAAATTTTTAATATTGTGTATCTCATTCATCAAAGCAATATAATCTAAATAGAGCACCTATGTCATGTGGCTATAAATTGTGTGAGGGAAGCCCACACAGTAAATCAGTGTGATAAAGGATGATCACATATTTTTTTTTTTAAAAGCTAATTCCATGAAAAATGCTTGGCCACTGTTAGTAATTGGACTGAATGAAAAGAGTATGTTGAGTAAATGAATGAATGAATGGCCATCAACCTTAGAATCATCACCTCTAAGTGCTGAAGCCAACCATCCATTAAACATGGAATTACTTTCCTAGCACAAAATTCAAAGTAACTTACAAAAAATGATGGGTAAGAGTGGTGGTGGTGGTGGTAGTATCATCACCATGACCATGACCATGACCATGACCATCACCATCACGACCACCGTCATCTTGAACACAGTACAATGGTTGCCAACGACAGCAACTACCCCCATGGCTCACTCTGGCCCAGGCACCGTTGGAAGTGTTCTACACACATGAATTCATTTAATCTTCATATCAACCTTCTGAAGAACAGTTTAACATTATTTCTGTTTTACATACCAGAAACTAAGGCAAAGGGACATGAATAACTTGCCTACGCTTATAGAACTAGGAAGCAGCAAAACTAGGAATGGAACCTGTGTGGTAAGCTAAGGCAGAACTGGAAATTAGTGTAGAACAAAGTAAGTACTGGAGAAATTGAGAGCAAATGACTTCATATAATGAGTTACTTACATTAAAACCACGAAAAATCCTAGGTGATAGACTGGATTCATTTTATATACATTGAGTAAAATATTGCAAGATGGTTAAAACAGAATACAGAACAATATTCAAAGAGCTAATGTCAAAGTAGAGCACTCAACCACAACGAACTCTGAAAATTCACTTTAAACTGTTGTTCAAAGAGGAAAAAAGCAATTAAGGAATCCAGGTTGCTGAAGAGTTGAAAGACTTGGAGGCTCATTTATATATGTTTGTTAGGAAGTTCTTCCATCAAAAAAGAAAATAAAAGAGTGACTAATTAATTTTAGAATTGGGACAGGTTTCATTCCACTCTACTACCTATCCTGACCTTCTCTATAAAATAAAAACTACAAACTGCTAGAGAAACATTATCCTGTAATAACTAAAATAGTCTTATTCACATAAAGAGAATACCTCAGTGCATCCTTGGTTTTCAGCGATGTCAGTGATTCGGTCTGTACACCATTCATAACTTCTCCATCTTCTAAGTTCTGTGTGGAATCCTGTAGTCAAACAAACCCATAAGCATGTGGATGCTACACATGTCGAACTGAAAATTTGAATAAAATGTTTCAACATGAGACAGCAAGTGGTTTTACTCTCAATATATATAGCATGCTCCGATTTTTTTGAAGACTGGAAACAGGTGTTAATCTTTTCAGTGCTTTCAATGTTCTCTTCTCTCCTGTTTGGTTTCTGAAATACTCAAATGGGCCATTTACACAAGGCAATATGTTAAGAGCTTTGGAATACATCATTTAGCTTCCTCCTACTCAACCATAAGCTTTTGGGACGGAGTGTTTTAAATCAGCAAGGAGAGGGGTACCAAAGGGAAGGTGCCACTGACAGGTGGTGATGTATTAGCTTTAATGTACTGTACTTGCCTGTACCCCCTGGTGACACTAAAAATATAAAGAAAAAAAATTCATGAAAAAAAAAGTTGCCCGGCAAGGTCACTTCTGTCGGAAGTGTAACAGGACTGTGGCGGGAAAAGAAATCTGGAGTTCTTACTCTGTCACAAGACTCTCATTCTGAGAATGATCTTCAGTAAAAGGAAACTGAAATTAACCATTTAATTCCTAAAATGGTAAACATTCTTCCACTACAGAGAGCTAAGAGGGCCAGAGGAGGCAAGCGCTCCAGGACAGTAGCCACGTTGAGCTGGATGTTACATGGAATGGATTCTAAAAAGCGAGCTTGATTTTGAATCTCATTTGTAAGGCATTAGATTTCTGTTAAGCTTTGGAACTGCACTTGAGCAGAGGGATTCTGAAGATATACCACTCTTGAGAAGCAAAGTCATAAACCGTGTTACTCATGGACTCCAGGTATCCCTGAGCCAACAAACCACACGGAGAAGGACCCATTGTCAACCACCACACCTGTAAACAGAGCATTCACGGATCCGGAAGCATCCTTGCAACAACAACAAAAAAGACAATATATCAGTTAAGAGGTTGGGCATAAAGGAACTAGGCTAATATCTTGAAGAAAGCAAGGCAGGGAGCCACAATTCAAGCAGTTTATCAGTGTGAAATGATTAAAAAGATGTATTTCACTTTTAGATAGACGGAGTAGCAACATTTTGCATAGGGGTTCTGGGTTTTGGGGACTTGTTCTACACTAGATTTTTTTCTTTAAGATTTTTTTTTCACCCTTTCAGAGGGATAAACAAAGTGAAGAAAATCTAGAAATTCAAAAAATACGTTTTAGTTTAAGGCACCAAATCTTTGAAAGCTTTCAAACATACCTACTATTATGAAGGACCTGATCTATGCTTACAGAGAAAACACTGGGCTGGGCAGCTTACAAACATACGTAGGTAGATAATTTAACAAAATGCTTGAACTCGTGACTACTGCACGTGTTAGAACATTTGCACCTTCTTCCCCGACTCTCTTATACGAGAGGGAGTTCTATGAAGGGTCTTGGCATGTCTAGTACTCTCTTAAGTACCCAACACATGGGGCTCATTTAGGGGATATTAATGAATGCATGAGCAGAATGGCATTGTACTAGTTTCCTAAAGCCGTGTAATAAATTACCCCCAAATTAAATGGATTAAAAAACCCTACTGTCTCTCAGAGGTTCTGTGAGCCAAATATTTAGAAGTGGCTTAGATGGGCAGTTCTGGGGTAGAATCTCTCATAAGGTGTCAACATCTCAAGAGGTCAGCGAGAAAAAAAAAAATGATGGGTCTTAAAGCCCCAGTCATGTCTCTCATCTCTGGACTCTCAACTGTATTCCATTGATCTACATATATATCCTTAGGCCAGTACTACAGTCTTGAGTACTTGGTTTTGTACTGAGTTTTGAAACCAGAAGTGAGAATTCCCCACATTTGTTCTTTTCCAAGTTTGTTTCGGCCCTTCTGAGTCCCTTGCATTTTCATACAATTTTTAGAATCAGAACATCAAGTTTTGCAAGAAAAAAAAAAAAAGCCAGCTGGATTTTGGTAAGAATCACACCAAATCGGACGTCAATTTAGAGAGGATTAGCATGCTAACAGTATAAAGGTTTTACATCCATGAACAGTTAACAGTGGGTATCAGTTGAAATAAATCCTCTTACTGGTTCTGTAATTCCTCATGGATATACATTCTCAGAATGTCAAAGAAAAAACTGGGATAATGTTATAAAATGTTAACTATTTTTGTCTCTTTGCTTCCTACTCCAAGTGGAATTTTCTTGTTGATCGCTTACGAAGATAAGAAAAGAGCACACTTTCTGGTTCAAATCAACATTCTACAAGGTTAAAATAACTTTTTTTCTAGTTCCAGTTAGATGGTAAGTAAAGGTTCTATTTATGTCAACAACATACTTAATGCTCTAAGTATATGGAAATGTTAATTAGAATTTGAAAGCAATATTGGGCCAATTGCAACATGATACTCTGCTTAAGGGTAATTCTGAACTGACTACGGCTTTATAGCAATTATGTCAATAACCACAGACTTAGGAGAGAACACACACACACATTCACAGACTTCTCTAAGACAAGAGTTCCACTATTTTAAAAGGAGCATTGAAAAGTCTTTGCTTCGCCACAGCTATCAAAAACGGCTGTGATAAACTAGAGTTTATCATCTCACCTAATGGGCAGTGCGTGTCACTTGCCAAAATCATTCCTATTTTTGCAATAACAGAATTCTTTGCTATTCTCTAGAGATGGGGCAGGCAGACAGATGCTCAGGGCGTTCGGCAAGGACACGAAGCCAAAGCCAAATGGACTTGAACAACACGAGAGCAGTGCGGGGCTTTCAGACTTAGAGACAACAGCAACTTCTTTCTTGACAGGGTCCATAAATTCACTTTTTCTGAAAATTACAAGATACCTGACAAGTAATAATTTAGGGGTGCTTAGGCTTTTCCTTCCCTAAATTACATGGTGAAGAGTCACGAAATCACATGTATCTAAAAATGAATTCCACCCTCCCATAGCTTATTTAAGTAACTTTGAGAACAATCTGTGAAATCTGACTTTTTAGTTGGGAAGTAAAGGGGCAAAAATAATCTGACGATGAAGAACGAGAGGTATAAACAAATGGTGTGGAACAGACATGATATTTCTTCAACTTCAGACTTGAGAAATATTAATGATGTGATTTCAAGTCCCCCAACTTGCCTCTTAAAAAGTCAAGTTTGGGAAGCTCTACACTTAATTGTATTAATAAAACTATTATATTTCCTATGTTTAATGTTAAGTTAAAATAGATGCAATCCCCTACCTAGAATAAGAGGATCTAGAGCAACTTCAAAATTTTCTTTTGTCTCCTCCATTTTCCCGCATTTACAATTTTTTCCTCTCTGGTAAAGTTCAGCGGGAGGAGGAGTCTGGCCAACCCAGCAGAGGCCTTGAAGAAGCTTGTTCTTTATCTCTTTTATCAGAGAAGGGAACATATCATATGTGGCTCTCACAACAGACAAGTTTAATTACTACAATTTTTAAAAAGTGAACATTTTTAGCAACACTATCAGGATCATGGGAGCATTTCTGACAGCCAGAATGAGTTGGATTTAAACATCACTGCACTATTTTTAGCCTTAAAATCAACACTTACATAAATATTCCCAAACCAATTAGCAGCAGCTGGAAAGTAAAGGTGTTTACATTTAGTTAGCACCAGTGCTAACAACTTCAAGGGCTCACAAGCTGGAGGGAAGGGGCACAGCAGCAGGCAGGGCACTGGTCCCCGGGGGGATCCTGGTGTTGGCACCAGGCTATCATTCCATGTTCCAGTTCGTGAGAAGAGCGTGTATGTCATGCAACCTCATCAAGTTCTACATCTCCAAAGAAATTTAATGCTCTTGATAAAACTTTTCCTCCTGAAAGAAAATGCTACGTGAATTCTCACTGCTTTTCCCGAGCCGACCGCAGCTCTAAGACAATACTAAAAACAGTTTTACAACTCTGTTTTTCATCTCTCAGATGAGAACTAAAATAGCTGTCCCGTTATCAACAGATGTCTTTGACGTATAGGTGAAAATATATGGCTTAGACGTTTTCCCCTTCAGCACTCTTTAGCCACATTTGAAACAACTTGCCCACAAAATTTTAATGGCAATTGAGTGACGTTTCAGAGCTCAGGTGCATATTATAACAATAATTGCAATTTAAAAAGCCAACTGCAAGTTTCTTTTGAAACTGCACATGAGTTTTAGAATGAGAGTAATAGAAAAATTATACAGAGAAGACTGGAACGTCAGGTTATGTGCCTGATGCCATACATAAACATAATGTAAATTTTAAAATTAAAATTCTGGGCATAATTTCAGAACCTTTGTTTTTACATTTTAGAACAAGAATATCTGTGCTAAGTAAAAATAAGTTGTATTTGATAAGCACACAGATGAAATGATCATGCATTTTGGTAGTCAAGCACTGTTATTCAAGCTTGACCTAACAGACATTCTCCGTGCCTTGGGCAACACCTTACCACGGGAAATCGTAGCTGCATAGATACCACCTCAAAAGGTTTCAGTTCTAGGGGCACCTGGGTGGCTCATTTGTTAAACACGGGCCTTCAGTTCAGGTCAGGATCCCAGGGCCCTGGGATAGAGCCCTGCTGAGAGGGAGGTCTGCTTCTCCCTCTCCCGCTCTCCCTGCTTGTGTTCCTTCTCTTGCCCTCTCTCTCTGTAATTAATAAATAAACAAAGTCTTTAAAAAAAATTTCAGTTCTATCAATTTAACATGCCCATAGTTCCTTTTATATATTTTTTCCTATTTTTATTTATAAATATATATTAGACTATATATCCATACGTCTAGAAATAGGCAAGAAAATTGGAGATTGAAAAGTGCTAAATTTTAAGTTTCTTAAGAATAAGGACAATTTTAACAGAGATCCTCAAATTTTAGCCTACATCAGAATCACCTGGAGCCTTGTGAAAACAGATTGTTGGGGCTGAGGTTCTGACGCAGGAGATCTAGGGTAAGCCCTGTGAATTTGCGTTTTTAACAAGTTCCTGCTGCTTCTAGTCAAGGAACCACACTTTGGGAAAC